AAATATTGTTCGTATTTTCAAAGCTGCATATTTTCTAAAATAATGAATCGATTTTCAAAAAGTAAGAATCGATGTATAGAGAATTAAAAGCCCTTTCTAATGACCCCCCACTTGACCCCCATTCCCATTTAAAAAAATTTGGGGGATGGCACCCCCACGTAAGGGGTTGAAGATTTTGCTATGCTTTTTGCGCCAAAAGTTGTCCCCCTCAGAAGCAAACTTTACCTGTTTTTGAATTTTGCCGAAAAGTTCATTACTACCCTGTAATGCCTCGCGGTACGATTTCGATGGGCTACCCTGTATATAAAATATAATTATACATTATAGATTCGACTAGTTCTCTCTCTCTCTCTTTTTAACAAGTTTGAGAAGTTCTATGGAATGAAAAATCTAGATGAGTTACTCACAAAAAAAACGGTTTGGAACTCAATTCATCTCTTCAATCCTAACATAGAACTAAAGGTCATAACAATTAATAGTTTGTAGTAATTAACCTAATCCTATATGTGTATTATCTTTTAGTGATGATTGGACAATATACGGGGTGTTCCTGAAAGTCTGTCGGGAAACTCCGGGAGGTGATTCTACGGATAAAAATAATAGCATTAAGTAATGCAAATTTTTTTCGAATTGTCAATTGTTTGCAAGTTACAACTTGTCAAAGTACAATTTTTTCCATTTAAATAACTTATTTAATTCGTCTCTCATTTGGCACACCCACTAAGTAGATGAATAATTGGACCAGAGAAAAGAGTCACTATGTGCCGCTAGAGGGCACTTTACCTATAACTCAAAATTTTTTTTAGTTAGTGTTATTAAACATCAAATTTTTGGTAATTCTTCTTTTGTAAAACCAGCTTCATTAGTAAATAAAATATTTTTAGTAAATTCATTATCCTTATCTTATTTTTCCACAATGCTATTATAGAGCCGAAAAAATTATTATGGTGAAAAATCAAACTCATAAGTACCTGCTTTAAACAATTTTTATTACAATTTGATGTTTAATAACACATTAATAGCGATTTCCTGGTAAACGGTTACATTTATCGTCTTGAATAGAGAGTAGGTATATATTTTTTCTGATATTGTTTCTCTTTCAATAATCTTTAAATTTCTGTGATGTCTAGCAAGAGAAAAAAGTTATGAACAAAATAAATTTTGACTTCTAGGTAAATTGCCCCCTAGCAGCGGATAATGAAACTTTTCTCTGACTGGTCCAATAGAGCTTCATCTACTTAGTGGATATGCCAAATAAGAGACTATTCGAGCTTAAATTGAATAAGTTATTTAGAAAAATAAAAAAAGCTCATTACATACTGCTATTATTTTAATCCGAAGAATCACCTCCCGGAGTTTCCTGACGGACTTTCAGAACACCCTGTATACACAGGAGGGTTAGGTGGAAAATGAGGGCAGTTAGAAAATGTTCATCATCTCAGAGAATTATAATCCAAGTACGGCAATTTAATTCCAAAAACTAATACCAAGATAATATAATCAAAAAATACATTTTCGAAAACTACAATTTCTTGCGACAGAAGAATTACGTCAAAAATGTTACTCGTAGAATAACTACGAGTAACATTTAATGTTTTTGTTTGGCTTTTTCCATAATAAAACAGAAATACGTCATATCTACCGTTTACTTGAAATTGCAATGTTAATATAATAAAAGTATATATTTTTTAATACAAACCTTTTGAACTTCAATTTTGAATGTCATATTCTATAATTTGTATTAAATATTTAAAAAATTCACAAATTGCAACGAAAAGGAGTAAAAAAAAGTAAAAAAAAAATTCAGTTCAAAAATTTGTCTAAAAACTTATTGTCATTAATTTCACAATTCTTCTTACTGTAACATTTCGTATTAAAGAACCGACAATAGTTTATCAAAAAAATATCAATTTTTGTAATAATTACCCAATTTTATAAAAAAAAATTATCTAGGTAATGTCTAGGTTTGTGATAAAAATTTACACAATATTAATTTACTAAATGTGCAAAATTCTTACACCAATTGTTTATTTTAATTTAAAATTGTCCCTACTATAATTTTAAGAACAATTTAGGGTTTCATTATGGTTTCATTGGATAAATTGTTTCTATGCAGGTTCTATGTATTTATTTATAGGTATTTTCGATTTTCCCATGTTATTTCGTAAAGCTCATAGCGTGGACTATCTGCGCAGTTTAGAATTTAGATGCCTATATAAAGCTCATCACTCATCCTCATCACAGTAACGAAGCCGTACGTAAGGTGATGCAATTTTGTCTTCCCAACATTATTACATTACGACATCCTCCATCAATGTCGAACACGTTGCCACGACGATATAGAGAATTAATGGAAAATTGTGTAACAACTTACTACAGCTTTTCAGTTAGAGGTAGCGGGGTCGTCTGAAATTAAATTGCGGCTGAAAGGTCGGGGCAATTGTTTTTTTATGTTCTGGCCGCAAACCGCTTACAAAGAACTGTTTATCGCATTTAAAAATCGTTTTACATTAACGAAAATTTAAAAATGAAGATACAAGCTATGCCATAAAAAATAAAGAGATATTTTTAGAGTTCCCAAAATAGTTGAAAATCCTACTAAATGACTCCATTAAAATTCGATGTTTTCTACTATAAAGTTTTTATTTAAAATTTTTAAGAAAATATTGAGATAGATCTCCTGAGAATTTTGATGTGAAATTTTAAAAAATTTGGTCGAAGTTCCTAGGAAACTTCCAGCCCAAACACCAAAGCTACAGCAAATGACACCGTAGAAGACCGATGCAGTAGGAAGAGCAGCCACCCACACGCGCTGTTAAAATAGAAAGAAAATTCATCAACTGCATTTTGGAAACTAAAAAGTTTTCCGAATATTGCGAAATTCGAAGGGGGGAAACCACGAGATAAAACCAAAGGCCACGGTTAAGCTACAAGTCGATCATCAGTTCCAGTTGGGGGTAATCCAAAATGGGTGAAATCAGGAGAGGCCAAGTCCCCTCCGAGGAGCTGTGAGACCTTGTCGTGGTGGAGGAAAAAAAGGCACCTGGGTATTTGGAAACGGGGGGCTTGCCTTCATCGGCCGGCCTACGAGGAGTAAAAGTCTATAGAACAACCCGAGAGTCACGTTAAAACCTGTGGGGCACTGGGTGCACCTCACAGTATGAATGTCTTTCCCCCAGCAAAGGCCCACTGCCGGGGTATGACGGTTTTGAGGTCCCAACTCGTGGGAATTCATGACTATAAATCCCAAAAAAACTGGACGGGTCGGAAGATGACGATAAAGGCGAGGATATGGTCTTGAGCTTGGCATCAAGAGATGAGACAAGGGATAGTTATGTAAAGTTGTAAGGAAGTCACGTATGGGAAAGAAGAAGCTCGATTAGTGGCAATAGGGTAACAGTCGACATAAAGCAGGATGTGGGGAACCGCACGTCAGCCCCTAAACACAGCAGACTGAATTTCATCAGCCAATTGAAAATGTGTAACTCGCTTGAAGGTGATCGGAATAGAAAAAAAGATGGATACTTCCATGGAAGCTAGACGGCCGAAAGCTGAGGTAACAAAACACGAAAACTCAACAGTATACTTAATGAGGCAATTGACCTAATTACAGAATGCTTTCATCACTAGGATAAGAGGATTAGTGAATACTAAAAGAGAGATGAAGGAAACAGTCACTAGTTTCAGGAAAGGGGGTACAGTCAAATACTGGTTGGAGGCAAATAAATGGGTCCATATAGAAATACCTAAATATGATATGGAAACTCAGATGGGTGTAAGAATGGAAAATCATCATCCCAAAAGGAGGACCTACATGAGAAGAAACAGAAGGGAGACAAGGTATTAGAAATGTTGGGCAAGGATCTGGCAGCCGAGGCCTTAATTGAAGAGAAATGGCCGGAGGAGTGTTACAACAAGGTTGAGTTGATAAGGGAAGGTCTCGCGGACGAGGATGCGGCAACTGACATCGTTCTTCCAAGACGAGATGATGTGAAAACGGAGAGATTCATAGATAGGAAGATTAAGGAAAATTTCCCAGGATATGGTAACAATGATGATACGGATAAACTTCTCAGGCCACAAAGCGTAGTGGCGAAATACGGAGTAGTCAAGATGGCAGTATTGAGCAGACAACGGTGAGATATGCTCATATTTTTGAGATTTCCCACCTGAAGACTCTGGAGGATATAAAGCATGCGTTATTATCACTAGAAAGGATTCATTTAGAACTCATTTAGGTCACTTGTAATAATTCCAAATATTTTTTTATATGAACATGTCCGTTTTGAGTTCCGAAAAAAAATCTACACAGCTGTGGCACTTTTTTGTCATCTCTAAGAACAGAGAAAATGGTACGGCCGTTTTTTTGCATTTACGTAAAAATAATCGCTTCAAGTGATAGTGTTAAAGTCCTTTGACGAAGAATACCGAAGGGAGAAATCCTAATTAGTGTTTGGTAATTGGAAATAATTGCCGCACTGTTCCGCCGGTTGCTAGATAAATACATCAATCGAATGACGGTAAATAACAGCCTACTAACCTGTGTTTTTAAGAGTTTGTAAAGGTCAGTCTCCATCAGACACTGTACGATGTACACATCTTTCATTTGGTCTATCGTGACTGCTCGAAGTATGTCCCTAATATCAATTATCTGAAACAAAAGAAATCGTCAGTGGGTACTGTAAAACAAATATATATATAATAAAACAATAAAATATATATTGAGATATTTTTGAGGTCAATGTATTTAGGCAGACTTGAACAAAATATATCTACTTAAATGGTACTCCTTTTTAATTTGCAAGGTATCTATTAGTTTTATAAAAAAATTTGGAAATTCAACAGTTTTATGTTTTTAGGGGGAGGAGAAAAATAGTATTTATTCATTTTTATCTCTTGATAGATAATATTCATACAGGGTAGCCCATCGAAAATGTACCGCAAGGCATTACAGGGTAGTAATGAACTCTTCGGCAAAGTCCAAAAACAGGTAAAGTTTGCTTCTGAGGGGGACAACTTTTGGCCCCTAAATTTTTTCAAATGGGAATGGGGGTCAAGTGGAGGGTCATTAGAAAGGGCTTTTAATTCTCTATACATCGATTCTTACTTTTTGAAAATCGATCCATTACTTTAGAAAATATACAGCTTTGAAAATACGAACAATATTTTTGACGAGAAATGCGAAAATCGATTTAATTTTACTTCAAAATTTACGGTATTAGCTTGGTAAATTCCTTCAAAAGAATTCGCTGTTTTTTTTTTTTGATTTGCGAATTCTTTAGCCTGATTTTGGTGAGCAAAAAATTGTCCGCTTTTTGTTTCGTATTTAGATAGGCCACAAGAAGTTGCTAGATAACTGTCTTGTGACTTGTAGTTGAAGAGTACCAATACTGCCGAGTCTTTTAAATTGATTAATTATGGTGTACTCAATTCCAGAAAGAGTAGAAATTATTGAGCTTTTTTTCAAAAACAATGAATGCGGAAATCGGGTCGCCGAACTGTTCAACCAACGGCATCCTGAGAAACATGCGTCTGGAAAAATTGTTCGCGAATTGGTGGCCAAATTTCGCGAAACTGGCTCCGTTCATAACAAAAAGAGGCAGGTTGAAAATCCGGTACTAAATGAACCTACGGAAATAGCGGTATTGGGGCAAGTGGCAATGGATAGTACGCTGAGTACAATGCAATTGGCTACTGCGACAGGAGTGAGTCGTACAAGTGTCCAACGAATATTAAAAAAATACAAATTCCATCCTTATAAGATTCGGCTAGTGCAAGAGCTAAATGAAGACGATTTTGATCGTCGTTTGCAATTTTGCGAAATAATGACTGAACGAGCGATAAACGATAATTTCCTCTTTAATGTGTGTTTTTCGGACGAGTGTACGTTCTTCTTGAATGGTTTAGTGAATCGCCATAATTGTCGTTACTGGGCTGATACCAATCCAAGGATTTTCCATGAGACACACTCCCAACACCCCCAGAAGTTGAATGTATGGGCAGGTATTTTTGGAAATTCCATTGTAGGTCCTTTTTTCCTTCCTGGAAATTTGACAGGCGATATGTACTTGGATTTACTACAAAATGTCATCGACCCAGCTCTAACAAATATCATAGAGGACGACCCTGCTTACAATGAACACGAACTGATTTTCCAGCAAGACGGAGCTCCTCCACATTACTCGCTCAATGTGCGCAATTACCTAAATGAGACGTTTCCAGGACGCTGGATAGGACGAAGAGGTGCAATTGAGTGGCCCCCTCGGTCACCCGACTTAAATCCTTTAGATTTCTTTCTCTGGGGGCACATTAAAAGCAAAGTTTACAGCACTCCACCTGATACCTTGGAAGATCTGCGAGGACGAATCATTAATGTATGTCGCGAAGTAACACCGCAAGTGCTCCAGAATGTTCGACAACGGTTTGAAGACAACCTGTATCATTGTATGCAAGTTGGCGGACAACATTTTCAGCATTTACTTGACTAATACCGTAAGTTTTGAAGTAAAATTAAATCGATTTTCGCATTTCTCGTCAAAAATATTGTTCGTATTTTCAAAGCTGCATATTTTCTAAAATAATGAATCGATTTTCAAAAAGTAAGAATCGATGTATAGAGAATTAAAAGCCCTTTCTAATGACCCCCCACTTGACCCCCATTCCCATTTGAAAAAATTTAGGGGATAGCACCCCCACTTAGGGGGTTGAAGATTTTGGTATGCTTTTTGAGCCAAAAGTTGTCCCCCTCAGAAACAAATTTGACCTGTTTTTGGATTTTGCCGAAAAGTTCTTTACTACCCTGTAATGCCTTGCGGTACGTTTTCGATGGGCTACCCTGTATATCTACTAGGTGGTTTGGTTAAACTTTAATGGCTTAATATAGTCAGAATTTAACAAAAAACTTTCTATAAGCATGTATCCGAAAATGTCAACAAAGACAACTGAAGTGATTTCATGCTTTGGCAAACCGATTTAATTAATACATTTTTTTGTTCTTCACATATCAATAATTTGGATAAAAGATATAGAAAACCCGCTTACTTTTGAGTGAAATATAATATACTAATTGGAAGTAAAAAAATCCAACTGTCTTAAAGTACATTAATTAATTTTATTTATTTAGGAATAGTAAGAGTTGCAAAATGTTATAAGGTCTGTGGATGAGACGTACATGGCGTAAAAACCAGGAATGAATTCAGGACAGTGTGTTAATATACCGGGTGTATTTTTTAACCTGAAACTTTTAAATATCATTCAATTCAAATGACATTAGTGCTAAAATTAGTCCCTCTTCCCCATCCCTTGTAGGTGGGGAAGGGGTAACTTTGACACTTTAAATAGGAACCCTCCATTTTTTATTGCAGATTCGAATTCTACGACTAAAAGTATGTAATCGACGAAATGCATTTTTTTCAATTTCTCCTCCTGAACCTATATACATACGATTCTGCAATATGTTTGCAATAAAAAAGCCTTAGGGCTAATGCGGACCAAAATAAAAAACACGCCCAAAGAGACCCAAACTACCTTCCACGAGCAGTAGAAGCCGCAGCGTGGAAATTAAGTTAAACTTTCCAAAATTTTCGCCAAAAGTCGCTAAGCTCTCAGCCCCTCCAAACACTGAAGCAACTGAACCGATGTGCTGTTGGCAGAGCAGCCACCGAAGACTCGCTGCGAAAATATAAAATTCACATCGGTTTCGAATTTGGGAAACTGAAAAGTTTTTCAAATTTTACGGAATTTGAATTGAAGAATTACAAAATAATCATATCAAGAACGCAAATTGAGCATCAGTTGGGTTGGTGATATTCCAGAGATGGGTAAAATCCAGAGAGGCCAGCGGTCCAGAGATAAGGCGAATTTCGCTAGAGAACTGCGGACCCATCAAAGACCGTGATTGAACGTCAACCCCGATGTGTTCCAGTTCAATAACCAGCAAAGGACCCTGGCAAGTACATATGTACGTTTCAAAACATATATATTATTTTATATACCAATGCAGATGCATTCATTTATTGTTATTATAATAGAAAATAAAAAATTGTCATGAGCTCCCATTGCTTCACCCAGGCTTCTCCACGTGCGATGAAGACCATAAGAGACAAACAGCTCCTAAAGTTGCTATACTTAGCTCATAAAGCTGCCATACATTAGTCCTTAAAAGAAGGATAACAAATTCAAACCTTTAAAGTTCTCTAAGAAAGCCTCAGATAAACTGTAGAGCATCATACTCGATTTGCTAGCTCCACAAAAATCAAAGTGCTTAGTGCAAAAAACTACCAAAACAAACGAACTAAAAATATAAAAACTAAAGCATATCGCAAGGGTCAGCGCGTCTTTAGGTACAAAAGAGAGCGTGGACCATTGTTCCAAGGTCAAGCAATCTCGTCATCAATGGAGGAAGAGCAACGCATCTTTGACGTGAAGGGGGATACGCCGGAGCATTCTGGAATTCCCCTTGCAGGCGACTAATCTTCGCCAGCAAGAACAGTTACTCAATTCCAATCCGAGGGTGTATGAATCCCTTAACATGCTGAGGGATAATGAAGATAGGTCGGCAACCAATCAAAATCCACGACACTAGCACTCAGGTTAGTTTGAGAAAATAATTTACCCTAAGTTTCTATTTTTGGGATACAAGGAAAGTTTACGAAGCCTTTTTATTAAATTAAATTACACCCCATGAACATTCGTTCAAGGGTTAACTAAAATTGGCCATCGACTCACTTTCCGTACTAAAATATATACTCGTCTTTGTCGAACACCGAATAATGAAATATTCGAATAAATAATCATATTCTTACTACATAATAAAGAAATATGTTCGTCGATTATTCCTAACAGCCACTTCATGCACATATATTCGTATGTTATTATTATAAAATATTAATGTATTTTAATTTTCTTTTATTCGATAAAAATGCGCTCTTTTTTCACTAAAACGATATGTCTATATTGCATACTACAAAAAAAACAATTTTTTATAAAGCTTAAGTACGAACAAAGTACGACTCTGTACCGTATGAATGTACGGTTAAATTACGAACCTTCTATAAAATCAAGTCGAAAAATACGATTCTAAAAATACAACGTTATTACAATACTTATGGTAGGTAGACATTTATGGCAACTTAATGTCTTGGTGTTTCAATTTAATTGTTGTTATTATTCAAAGCATATTCAGAATAAAAAGAAGCTACATTTCTCATCATTTTAAGTAAGATAAAAATGAAGAAAATATCTTCTAAGCATAGAAGTGACTGCAAACTACTTTTAAGCATCCTTATGTAGCATGTAATAACATAGAAATTTCATTTAAAGTTAAGTAATTATCTCCATTTCCTAAATTTTTTTCAATTTGGTCAATGCAATGTTCCCAAAATATGAACAAAATGAATATTTTGCAACTTTGATACCCTGAAGATTGAAAATAAGAAGTAATTATTGACTTAGGCATGTTTAGCTCAATGGTATTTTTATTTAGAACATCCTATATACTTAAATTTGACTAAGTAAAATATGTAAGGACATAAGGAATTTGCTTTTTTCCAAATTGGCTGATAAATGTATAGCTGTTCTCCAAGTAGCCCTATTTGAAATGAAATATAGGGCATCATTCATTCTGCAAACGAAAGCAATTTCTCCTTAAAT